GTAATGTAGAAGATGAGGTAGAAGATAAGGTAAAGTAGAAGATGAGGTAGAAGATAAGGTAATGTAGAAGATGAGGTGGAAGATAAGGTAAGGTAGAAGATGAGAGACAAATATGTGTTAGACATCTCTTATGCAAGAATTGAATAGAAGTATATTACCAGCGGTATCGAGCCAGACGCTAACAATGCTGTCCCGCAGAATGTCGTCCGGCACGTCTCCTTCCCGCACGCGAGCGCCCAGCGCGCTGCTGAAGTTGTGTGCGAAGTGCAGCACCGCGTACGTGGTACGGCGTGCGAGAGCGCGCTGACCCTCCAACGTACTGTTGTACGGAACCTAGGGGATTGTTAGTATTAGACTATATCTTACTAATATTATAAATGCGAAAGTTTAGATGGATGGATGTTTGTTAGAGTTTGTAGACTAGATGTAGAGACTGGTAGAACATATAGGCTATTTAGGCACTTTTTTTTAATTCCACGCGGAGTCGCGGGCTAAAGCTAGTACTTAGTATAATAAAGCGTAAACAAACACTATTTTGCAGCGTAAGATGTCAGCAATCACAGAATATTTTTTAATAATTCTTTTTTTTAATAAAAAGCCCTAAACTTACGTCACGCTTTATATTTCACGCCATTAAACTTAGGGGGTAAATATTTTAATAAAAGCTCTAATGTGGGAAAGAGACCTTAAGTTGCTGCCAACATCAAGATAGAAAGATTGCTATGGTTCGTCATGTCAGTCATGTCATTGTGACATTTGCTATTGATTTGACAAATGTAAGCAATAAAATAAAATTTTCATAATTTCACGCGGATGAAGCCGCACGGGAACAGCTAGTATACATATAAAATTGGAGTGTCTGTTTGTAATATCAAAAGAACAATTCCAGATTTCGGGAAGATTATCTTTGCGTTGCTGATAACGAAAATCGCATTTAAAATTTTTTTGTCTGTCTGTCTGTCCGCAAGACGCGTATGTTCAGGGTAACCTCCAAAACGGTTGGGCCGATTTTGAGCAAAATTTCACTGGAGGGTACCTGTTAAAGACGGGCATATTGTAGGCTACTTTCTTGTCAAAGGAAACTGATACCTGAAAGAGTCTTCGTTTCTCCATCTCCTCTAAGAACCAGCAGCTCAGCATATACTGGTCGCAAGTATCGTCGTCGCGTCGAATTACTGTCACCAGGCTACTGTTCTTGCAAATATCTAATCCATCTGTAACGAGATTATCATCAATAAAATATTTTTTTAACAAAATAATAGTAGATTTTTGTTAAGTTACTAATATTTCCGTTAAATATTCTAAGAAAGCTTTAGGCTTGTGCTAGGATATGGTTCACGACGATAGTCGAATGACGGGATTCAAACCCTCGACAGCAAGATCGGTATACCGTACCCCAAACCATTACGCTATTGGCGCTTACACAAATATAATAAGCATTTTTTTAAATAATTCAAATGTCGCATATAATTATTAAAAACAAACAATGTGAAACTAGAATCAGCTAAGACTTTGTACAATCAAGGCATTTGGGGGTGTTCCAATTTGAAAGATGAAGATGTTGGAACTTTTTGTACGCAATGACACGACGCGGAACATAAACCAATAAGATGCAGTACTTAAATCTCTACTAAAAACGAACAGTATACGACTTATTTATTTTTATTATCCCGTGGTTTGTGCCATTTACCTACCTAATGTCTCATTGCAAGGAACATGGATTTTTTTTTCGTAAATGCAACAATGAGAATTTCCCCAATTGTACTTACATGGCGATGAAGCCGCTTCCTCGTTAACAACAGCGACGTGCAAATCTCGTGGGTCGCTGCCTACCGCCATAAAGAATGCCACCGCTTGTATGATGGGGAACAGCACAGAGAATATTAAACCCCTGCAAAAAATATAATACAAATCAATCAGAATTATTTTAAAATTTAAGATAACGCCATCTAGTGTTCAGGACTATACATTTATTAGGATACTTTCGCTCGCGACTTCGTCCGCAAGAAATTAAAAAAACAAAAGTGGCCTATGTGTTCCCTCAGATTATGCTCCTCTACATTTATGCCAAACTATGATAGCTTTCGTCCGCGACTCCGTCCGCACAGAAATAAAAAACAAAACTGAGTAGCCTATGTGTTCTTCCAGACTATGCTCTAGATATGTACCAAATTTCATCGAAATCCGTTCAGCCGTTAAAACTACAAACTCTAACAAACATCCATCCATCCATCCATCTATCTAAACTTTCTCATTTATAATATTAAGTAACAAGTAAAATGATTAAGTTACTGATAAAATTATCACTATTGTACAATTTTAATTAATAATCAACACTGTACGTTTAGTTTAGATGTCAGTATAATTTTCACACTTTCACTGAAGCGTGGTATGCAATGCATGGGACATATGCTAATTATAACTCTGTCATATTTTTGATGTGTGCCCACCTTTATTGTAACTTTATATTGTATACATAGCCTATGTTACTCACTGATGATGTGGGTTCTTAGTGGTGTAAGAATTTTTAAAATCGTCCCAGTAGTTTTTGAGTTATTTCAATACTAGCCGGTTCCCGTGCGGCTTCATCCGCATAATATTATGAAAATTTTATTTCATTGTTTACATGTGTCAAATTATCAATTTAAAATGTCAAAATGACATGACATTATGACAAACCTGGTTAATCTTACTTGATGTTGGCTGCAACTTGTGGTCTCTTTCCCACGTTAGGATTTCTATCCAAAATATTTACCCCTATGTTTAATGGCGTGATAATATATAGCCTAAAGCGTGACGTAATGTAGGGCTTTTTACTAAAAAAAGAATTATTCAAAAATATTCTGTAATTGCTGACATGTTAGGCTACAAAGAAGTGTGTTTACGCTTTATTATAATAGTATCGATTTCAATATGTACAACAAATCTTTCCTCTTTTTAATGTTAGTACAGACGAGGACTTTTTTGTAGTATATATCTATAGTAAGTCACTTTCGCGATTTACACTTTGTTTAGAACAAATCTTGTCTCTTTATAATATTAGTATGGATTATTTTTTAAATTACTTCATAATTATTTGGTCGCGATTAAATTTAAATTTGTGTTGCTTTTGCGTTTCAAATCAAATTTGCGTTAATTCAGGAGCCATCGAAAATATTAAAAAAAGTATATATAACAGCGATGGACGGAGAGATAAGGGCAATTATTAAAACTCGATTTTATTTTGACTTTAGCATTGCGACGCGACGGGTCCAGTTATTCTAGTCATCTTAATAAATGTAATAATAATCAGATCACGTAGAACCCAGACCAATTTGGTAGGAAACGTGACATGATTATGATTATCTAAATAAGGCCATCATTCCTTATTCATTCAAACGTTTTAGGATGGCTTATTTAATACGAGCTGTTGTCCGCGACTTCGTACGCGTGGTATTAGAAAACATACAAACTATGTAAATTACAAAAAGCTACGTATCCCTCGGGAACCGGACATTTCTCTGGGATGAAGCTTATCTCATGTGTACTTCAGACTTTGTTTTATATCTGTGCCAAATTTCAATAAGATATGGTGAACCGTTGCAGAATGATCGGAGTAAACATTAAAAAACTAAATTAATGAATCCCACAGGAACCGTAACTATTCCCGGGATAAAAAGTATCCTATGTGTTCTTCCAGACTATGCTCTAAACCTGTGCCAAATTTCATGGAGATCCGTTCAGCAGTTTAGGCTACAAACGCTAACAAACATCCATCCATCTAAACTTTCGCATTTATAATATTAGTAAGATTAGTTTTGTGACATTTGTGTATAGACTTACAAAGGTTTGAAGTTTTATTTTTAATCTCATTTACTAGTGGATAATCTTATTAAAGATGTTATCTTATTAATAAATAAAAAAAATTATGGGCTCTCATAGAAATTATGTACTTTTGATCAGCTATAGAACACTGTCTGAAGATATTGTTATCTATTTATGGCTATTTTCTTTAAATGATACTAGCTGTTGTTCGCAACTTCGTCGAAATTATAAAATATAGCCTCCTCCTCTTCTTCATAATCTTCTTTGTAATATTAGTAAATGTTAACTATTTTTTTTACTTACCCAGGATGCCTCGAGAACTGTTGAATGCTTTTAATAAATACTGCTCTGTATCTCGCTTTGGATTTACTTGAACAGTTTGATGGTTTTTCTTTGGTATTGAGCATCTGAAATATTTAAAAAATGTTAATCAGATAAAAGATGTAAGGCCTGTCCCACCACTGGCTGATAAAGGCGCAGATAGCTTAAATGACTTCAGATAAAGTGACAAAATCCGACATTTCCATCGCATATTTTAATTGGATTGTTATCTGACAATTTACAAGAATTTGGTAGAACTGGCTCTAAATAATTTAAACGGATTAAGTGAAACAAGAATATTGTATGTAGTACAGTCGCGGACATTTGCCGGTATTGTATTTTCAATAATGTTTATCAGTTCCTTGTAAAGATAAAATCCGTTTCTTATAAAACCAATAATATAACAGTGAGTTGCACAAATGGTGGGATACTAGCTTTCGCCCGCGACTTCGTCCGAGTGGAATTAAAAAAAACTGCCATGTGTTCTTAAGGACTATCCTCTACGTCTGTCAAATTTCAGAAAAGTCCGTTAAGCCGTTTAGGCAACAAACTCTAACAAACATCCATCCATCTAAATTTTCGCATTTATAATATTAGTATGATGTATAATTAAATGCAATGACATTTAAAAATGTCCTATTGGGTTTTTTTCTACGTTTTCTAAATGCATACAAAATGTAACGACTGTAGCTTTTAGTTGGAACACTGCATAGTTCCTTGACTGTACTTTTAACGTTTTTCATAATTTAGAGTTGGCGGACAACTTTGTGTGAACTATCGCACAACTGTTGTCGTTTGTTTCGCAGCCCAACTGTTTAGTTGCACAACTGAACATCGAGTAGTGTGCACATAAGCTCATAGGAATCAAAGCGCGACTAAACAGTTGTGCGATAGTTTCAGGTTCACGATCTTATGCTTACGAAAATATGTAAAATCAACTCACATCAGTACTGCTGGTGACGATATTAAAGTCGTCTCGCGATTGGTAGCGACTGTCGGGGTTACTGACAATACTGCTCTCCGGTATCACGTCAGGTGATGACGTCAGAGCTATAATACATAGAGAGTAATCGCGTATCCACGAAGCCTGTTTTGACTAGACAATGGTCTTTCCGAGGGGTTATTCCCAACCGTCACTTCGCTCTGTCCTCACGTGGGAACAGATGAGAATGAAATGTTTCGTCTGTCCCACCTTTTGCGACGGATGGACGGTCACATCTTATTTTATTTCTTAACGGTTCCATCTGTCACCTTATTGGTGATAGTGAGATTAAAAGGTGGGACGGATGAAACTTTTTATCCTTATCTATTCCCACGTGGGGACAGAGCGGGGTGAAGGTTGGGAATAATCCTTTTCGAAACATTGTTAACCCCTTCGTGCACATCGAACTACATTACTACTTCGTGAACATTTGAAACATTGTATTCTTGTTGTATTTTTTATGTTATAAGAGGCCAGAGAAGTCGCCAAAATGGAGGCAACTACTGCTCATAAACATCCGCAATTGCAGATGCATTGCCTACCCTTAATCGCTGGAGTAGACGCACATAAAGAGGATATTTCCTCTTCCTATGCGTTTCCTCTGTCAAATCTACTTTCCATTCCCATCTCTTTATAAGGGAAGGGAAAGGGACTAAAATTTGGCCTGCGGCTCGCATCAGATTGTGCGCGGAATTGGTCCTATTTCACGGCGATCGTGGTATTGCGGTGGGTGAGCCGGAGGTCTACTATTGTTCAATCTCCAAACCCATGAAAATGAATCTTGCAGCCGTTACTTTGTTATTATTAAGGAAGTGGGAGGTCGCATATTTCTTAGATCGCTTCGGTCGACGCTCCATGGAGTGACAGGGCTCAGGGCCCCCGAGAGGGGACTTCGGTTTGGGCTGGAACAACTACGCGAGTTGTCTATTCGGTCAGATTTGTAGGTAGTGTACCTTCATACGAATCTCTAACATTTTATGGTATTTGTGTACGAAGGGCTTTACATTGTGTTTTACGTAAATTGGCTTTACATAAAGATAACTTATATTCATTTTGATTTTACTCCCCTTAAATCAACATTACTCGATAGTTAAGTAATCAATAATTCTGAGAATAAATAGTAATCTCACTTGATCGCCTTCTGTTGGTGACTTCGTGCTGTCGCAACGCCATCTTCAAGAAGGCGTCTTCAAGCGTATCACAGTCGTATTTACGTAAGATCTCACTCGGTGAGTCTTCCGCTAGAAGTTGACCGTCACGGAGCAGACCGATCTGGAAATGTAGTAAAGCGAAGCTGTAGTTTGTTTATTTGCAAATTGTACAGCTACCCTCCGTACTAGTATTACTGTATTACGGCAGGGCAGTGCGGCCAATTTTCCGTGTGTACTAAAAGTGGTTAAAGTACAAGCAAAATACACAGATTAATGCAACGTAAATAAAATTACATATTACAATATAAAAAATAAATCAGTATATTAGAAGAAGTTTGGGAGTAACCCCAGTGGTAGAGAAGGTAAGGAGTAAAAGGTTAGCATGGTATGGGCATATTATGAGGAGAGATGAATCGCATGTTACAAGGAGAATGTTAGTTATGAGTGTGGAGGTACAGTGGTAGAGGTAGATCTAGAAAGAGATGTACGGATTGCGTGAAAGGTGACGTATAGATGACGTATGATAGAGTCATGTGGAGGACAAAAACCTGTTGCGCCGACCTTACGGGAGTAGGATAAGGAGGAAGATGATGAATAAAAAAGAACAAATAAAACTTTATACCTTGTGAGCTTGTTTCGTTTCGTCGATGTAGTGTGTTGTGATTATGACCGTGGTGCCCCCTCTCGCAAGCTCGGCAAGGAAGTCCCATATCCTGGAAATTCCAACGTCAACCTTACAGTTTTGTTTTATTCAAAGAAGTAAATTATAATACTAGCTAGAAGCTAAAAGTTTTGTTTTTGACAACCCTATCACACGTTGATACAATAGGGTTGCCACAGACAAGTGTGTTTTTATATAAAAAAATCAAATAAGTAGAAACATACGGTCATTAGGAGTTGGATATTCATTAAAATTTAGCATGCAATTTGAATCTGTTTAAAAAAACCGTAGACAGCAATATTTAAAAACAAGTATAATTTCACAATAAAATTATAAAAACGTCTATGAAACAAGTCGAGAATCATTCCGTGTAAATATTCTTTCATTATATTAATTAAAAGATAAAAGAAATATAAAAAAAAACAATTGTTTATCTACATGAAGCTGTAACAATAGATAAATTATTGAGAATGACAATAAGTTGTAAAATTTAAACGATTTCCTTCAGACATCGCGTGACTGGCGCCATTTTTTCAATAATAACATAGTTGCGACACGCGATATCGTGTACATAATTCCATCTTAGACATTGTCATGTCAATCGCTAAGGGCCTGTCCCACCACTGGCTGATAGAGGATCAGATAGCTTAAATGACGTCACTGACATAAAGTAAATCCGATATTTCCATCACATATTTTACACGTTGGATTGTTATCACACAATTTACAATTTCGTGGAAGTAGTAAATCTTTTTTAGTATACATTAAGGTCCGGGCTCAGGTATACCGACGTCATAACCCCAAGGCGTGGTAGTTATTAAACATTGTTTCCAAGGTCCCTGAGTGATTTTGCTTATTAGAGTGCCTTAGACAGAGCTACAATGAAAATTCACAATGCAACATAATTATTCTAAACTAGTTTTCGCCCGCGACTCCGTCCGCGCGGAACAAAAAAAAAATAAAAGCAAGTAGCCTATGTGTTCTTCCAGACTATCCTCTACATCTATGCCAAATTTCATCGAGATCCCTTCAGCCGTTTAGCCTACAAACTCTAACAAACATCCATCCATCCATCCATCTATGGTTATAGACATAAATGCAAAGTTATCTAAAAAAATGTTCGTAATCTACGGCCTTATCATGCGATCTTCGTGTTTGCAATGTCACCAACCACGCGAAGTGTTTGTTTTTGCAAAAATAATTAACGGTAGGACGAATTGAATGGCCATACATGTCGTGACAGTGTAATACAGCGATAATGTGGCTATAGAAATCCAGGCACTAGAAATACCTTAAGTACTATACTATATACTAATACAATAAAACGTAAACACACAATACTTTGTTATGTAGGTTGTCAGCAATCATAGCATGTTTGAAGAATTCTTGTTATTATTAAAAAGCCCTACACTTATGACACGCTTTAGGTTATATATTTTCACGCTATTAAACTTAGGGGGTAGATAAATTGGAAAACCTGTCAATAGCAAAGAAGCAAGTTTGCCATGATTTGACATTTTTTTGATACTTGCAATTAAAAGTTTTTTAAGGTAAAAAATAAAATACAGTGTTTATAATATGCCGATAAACGTGAACCGCTTATAGCTTCTAAAAATCACAACGCATGCCTACAATCCGATAATAATAACGAAGTAACGGCTCGTGCCGAGGCTCCTGAGGTAGACCTCGAGCTTAGTTACTCATAAACGAGGTTTAGGCTAAGCGCCATCTGCGCTCGGCCACCTCAAGCCCGGTGAATCTGTAAATACCTTTTAAAGGCAGAACAGTGGCCATTCAGTCAGAAAATAAAAATTGCATGCTTACAAAGAAATTAATTATAATGGTAGAAGTCTAATTGGTTTTTACAACACTATAGTTTAGTCATAATGATTGTTGAAAAGTAAATAAGACAACAAAACTGTCATATAGTTTTGAAACTCGCATTGAAGTTGGGCAAAGCAAAGATCAGTTAGAGACGTGCGTCATGAATAACAAAAAGATATAAAACGTAGTGCGTTTCTCAACGAATTGCAAGACGATCGGTGGTGTGGCAATGGCATTAATGGCAAGTGAACTACTACATTTAAAAGGAATATTGAACATCTGGCTTTTATGGACGAAAACAAGGTCTTTATGATTGTAGAGTCCTGTTTAGGGCATATTTGGGTTGGTTTCTTATCACTCAATGTTGGCAACATTGAAATTTTCAAATAGTTTTTTTAACGAATATTTTTAATCGATCTTGTTTTTGATATGACCTAAAGATATAAAAAAATGCATTGACACTGTTAATTTTTCTAAAGCAACAATTCCAATTTGCTAAGCAATATATAATAGTTTTTGTCAAGCCACGATTTTGTACATGTTTCGTTAGTAGTCTTGGGATATTTATTCTATAATTATCTGTGTAAATTTCGGTCTCTGTAAGGTTGTTTACGTTTGGTTAAGTTGTGAAATATTTGTACCCGACGTGTGTTCACTCCTTTATAAGGTCAAGTGTATTGTCCCTCTTAATGTTCTGTAAATCAATGAAACCTTACTTCAAAATTGATCTTTAAATATTAACAGAAGTTTAATCCTTGACACAGAAAATTTTTTTAAGATGTTATTATGATTTTAAGATAGGATGTATGGAAAAATATGTTTATTTTATGTTTAAGAAATTTTGTTTACGTCGAATGTTTTTCTAAGTAAGTATTTGAACAAAAATAAAGTAATCTCTTTATGCTTATTATAAATAAATAATTTTATATAATTATACGAATATTTTTGCTCGTTTAGTACTAATTAATTTAATATGCGCATTAGCTATTTACAATAATAAATTGCAATTAAAACAGGTTTTATTAATGGCGTATATATTTTATAGATAGAGCGCCAGTGGCTCAGACACTTGACTTGGATACAGTTTTTGGGTTCGAATGTCGCCATACCAATTTTTCGATTTTCATATGCACATTTGCCAGACGTTACGGTGAACGAAATTATCTGTTGCCTGCATATATCTACGAAGAAATTGTGTGAAGTTACCCCCAAAAGCCAGCGTAGAATATGGCTTAGTCCTAACTTAGAGTAGTGTCTGACTAGTGGGGCGTCGCGGTGGCAAGCGAAAGCGATCCCGTGGCGCCCCACACATTGGCCAGGAGGGAACGAAAGGGTTTAGTGAGGTATGCCCCCCACTTTCGAAAAAAAAAGGGTTTGACCACCTTGAAGACGTATATGAGCTGATGATGATGATACCTTTATTGACCAATTTAAACAAAGTTCCTAAAGTCAAATATCGTAATGGCTGAATATAAAAATTCTCGTAATACATACTCTGTTTAATTTTAATTTTGAATCCAAACGAAGCATACGTCATAGACACATAGAATAATAATTATGTTCCAACAGATCAGTTACTGTTATAAAAACTGTGGAATGTGTGCTAAAGTTGAACAGATGGCATATCTTGAAATTCGTGAGAACGTTTTCGTAAGGTCATCGATAAAATTTGTATTATCTTTGTCCCAACGGAGGGTCGGCACAGTACCCTTCCATATATCTTTTATCTGTCGTCATATCAGAATTCACGCGTTCCTTAAGTAATAAAAAAATCCTTTTGCTTCTAAATGCTACTAGTGCTACTTTCAGAATCTCAAATGTTGATGACGTTACGAATACGTTCTTTCAACTCACGCTTGTATTCGTAATAGTCCCTCAGGTTTTAAAAACGTGATCTGTTAAATTTATTCGCGAATCACGTGTTGATATGAAACGTGTATAATGACTATGAATATATTTTTTATGTATATTACAGCTTTGTGATTGAATTCATTTAATATTCAATCTATCTAGCCGTGAAAACTCGCCTAGACAAATTACAAACCGGCAGAGTTTATAATTAGCAGGTAACATCAATCTTTAGATTCGTAGACAGCTTAAATATATTTTTATGCGTGCAGTATTTATAATAATACATATTTATTATTTTTGATACTAATATAAATGAGTTTCTTTTCAAATGTCGTATATTTTTTATCAATTCTTATCTTTTCGTTCATACATATGTACACACATATTTTATTTCCGTATCGTGACTTTAAAAAAATAAAACACATTTTTTTAATGCAGCAATTTTTAATAGTTTCCCTACAACTGCTGTAATAATCCCATGTTACTAATCTTACTATTTAGATGTATGGATGGATGATTGTGTGTTATGGATTGGTATAATTTATCCGCAGAACAGATCTGGATATTGTTTTTTAAAACCGCGTGAACGAATACGCGAGCAAAAGCTTGTCTAAAAACAATTAGACAACTAAACGTAAAATTTTAAAAGACTTTTTTGACTTAATAACGGTAAGGTATATCAAGTAACATTTAGGTGACTTAACCGTATTTCACTACAAAAGTCGCGTATAAGAGACTTTTATTTATGTAAGATATATTTTTCCTAGCACTAGACTGCGTCAAAAAAACAACAGTTGCGGTTTATTGGTTAGTGGAAATGGAGCTTACGTATTCACTAACCTTTCTCGTAGAACAGGATCCAGACCGACAGTCGGTTCGTCCAATATAAGTAGTTCTGGTTCATGTACTAATGCAGCTGCTAGTGAAACTCTTCTTTGTTGACCACCAGACAATGACTTTATAAGTCGTCCACCGCTGGGCAGGTCAAGTAGATTGGTTAGGAAATCGAAGCGTTCCACTAACTTCTTCATCGGCATACCGTAGATGCGGCCAAAGTAGAAGACCGCGTCCCGTACAGAAAACTCCGCGACCAATGCTATATCCTGTGGAATAAGTTAAAATATTACGATGGCTCCGAAATAAGCTATCGTATAGTGATTTAGAAGATTTAGGGCCTGATCCGCAATTCTTGTAAATTGACAGATAATCCTACGTATAAAATATGTGATGGACATATGGGATTTTGGTACTCTATCTGAGGGTCACGTCAATTTTAAGCTATCTGACTCTCTATCAGTGGTGGGATAGGCCCTTAGAGGAAACCACCAATCTGTTATATAGGATTTTGTAAGTTTAATACAAGGATACACACGGTTAAGTTTCCCAGTAACATACTCGCTTTCATAAGTGACTTCGTCCGCGGAATTTCTTTCAGACTATTGTCTACTATCTATATTTATACCAAATTTCATCGAGATCCGTTCAGCAATATCTATATTGTAGTCTACTACAAACTCTAACAAACATCCATCCATCCATTCATCCATCTAAACTTTCGCATTTATAATATTAGTAGGATAGCCTTCATAAGCAATATAAATTGTCCTATAAATAGGTTATTTAGATTGATTTATCTTGTCTAATCATTTACCTGTGGCATATATCCAACTCTAGGTCCAGGTACCCCACTCCCCTTCTCCCCAGGTTTCCCCCCTAATACCCACACATCTCCCCCGTCTAACGACCGTCTACCCACTATGCAGGAGAGAAGCGTCGTCTTTCCACAACCAGAGGCACCCAGAAGACCATAACTGCAACAAATGATAATTATTAAATAAAATGCAACGATTAAAAAGGTAATTTCTTATCTTCCAACCAGAATTCTAGTCAAATAACTGGAAGTTTCTGGTTGGTTTATAAATATGTTAATTAACTTTTTCTGTCCTGTCTATCGATAAAGGACACTATTAGAATATCCCCGGTTTTCTTGCTTTTCAAGTTTGTTACGTAATTTTCACAAAATAACTGTATGAAATGTATGAATGTATGAAATTTGAGGTACTTCACATACATTTTGACGGTATTATCACAACTGTTTCGTCTTGATTTAATCCCTATTATATATTAATGTGCGCACACTACTCGATTTTTAGTTGTGCAACAAAACAGTTGAATGAGGTGCGAAACAATCGACAATCGGCGATATTTAAGTCAAAGGTTTTTGCGCCCGCTCTTAGGCATTTTTAACGAACTGGTATTTTTTACAACACTTTGGATTAATAAAAATGTTTCTTATATTAGAGTCATTTAATTTTTTTCTTAAAACCTGTTCTAATTTAATGACCACGAAAGGGCGAATGGATTATTCATATAGTTATTAAAAAAACTTGAAATGAATACGTCATCTTAACCAAGGCTAAAATACCATGGACCAAAATCTAAACAAGGATATAAACGGCTCCGAATTCATAATTTTTGCTTAACATATATTTTTATTATCATAATATTACAATAATTAATTTGTTAATATTATGACGATTGTGTCGACGAATTAATACGCACGATTTTTTAAAATAATTAACATAAATACAATTTTCTTCCTTATTTAATGGGAATTTAGCAGTGTTTTATTTTTTTTACTATAAATATCAAATGTCGTGACTCTTGCATAAAAATATCGTTATGTTTTATTATGTTTTGTTTATTATATGTTTTACAGGTTATGACAGTGGAAACTCATTGTTAGACATGTTTCGTGTTTACAATGACGATGCCCGTGACGTAATACGTCTATTGCGAATCAATAATATGCCCCGCTTTTACAAGGTTTTTCAGTATTCAGCAGGGAAAAGTTATTTTGTTTACTTACATGATCCCTTTTTCTACTGTCATATCAAGGTAATTGAGTACAGGCTTGTAATCTGGCTTGTCCTTTTTGCCATAATACTTGTAGGCTCGCTCCACGACCACGGCGGCGGGACGCGCCGCCATCTTGAATTTTGCTTCTACCCTCTTTAATGTGAACGCATCTTTAATCTGTGGATAAAAATGAGTTTATAAGATTATTGAGATCGACAAGAGAAGTAAAAATAATTGCTATTTAGTTTCACTTATGGCCGATGAGATAAGTACTACCGATTTATTGACCATTGTATTGTATGGGAGTATGGTTAGTAAATAATTTATTTGAATAGTATGACGTCACAGTGTATTTTAATTTTGTTTTAAATCGTTATAGCATAATGGTTATGCTTAGCAACGCAAGTACATCATGTTTACGAAATATTATTTTGCATACAGACACTTCAGTTTTATTATCTGTATAGATAGATGGTCAGTTCGTTACAAGGAAATGATTAATAGATTTTTTGAATTGAAAACATTCGGATAAGACGAACTATTTTATTATAATTATTGTTATTTATGAAACTGGTTGAACGAGGATAAACTTGTTAATAAAAATGTTAGGTTCTCAAATAATGTTCCTGGAAATAAATGTTCAAGGCAAATACACGATTGGATTTTACAGAAATGCTATTAGCATAAATCTGTATTTATACTTTTTTTTTATTTAAAACTAGCTGTTTCCGTGCGATTTCATCAGCATAAAATCATTTTATTGTTTACATGTGTCATTGTCAATTGCAAATGTCAAAATGACATGACATGACAAAACTTAGCATTCTTTCTTTCTTGATGTTGGCAGCAACTATGGTCTCTTTCCCACATTAGGTTTTTTATCCAAAATATTTACTATGTTATATTTCATATCAGAAAGAGAACATGATAATTGCCTTACTGTACGTCCCAATGTAAGGTTTGGTACCTATCCTAAGTTAGTGGTGACTAGGTTTTAGAAAAAGAAAATATAGAATGCGCTATTTTTTCAAAGGGGTAAAGACTGGACACATCGACACAGATGTTCCAAGCAGTCGACTGGTAGATGGCGTTGGAGAAGTCTTTGGGTCGCTGATCACCGGAGTGAGTAAGAAATAGGTCACTTTTGCCTTTTCTTTGTACAAAAATTAAAAACAAAACTTGTGTCGTGGTCAATGGAAACGTGTTATCTTGACGCAACTCGAGTTACGTGCGATCTCGGATGACCGGAACAGCGGAGTGTGAGCCAACCTTTGGTTGCGTCATCCGAGCGGCCTCGAAACGGTCGCCGGCGAAATTGTCCGCACAAGTGGGTAACGACCTTTATAAGTTTTGTATAATTGATGGAGAATTACATAGTTCGCTTTATAGGTTGTAAAATCGATTAGTGATTTTTATTCGACAACATCATCTTACTATAAAAAAATTCTAGCTGGTGCCCACGACACCGTCCGCACAGTAAGGGTCACAAAAATGTACGAAAAATTACCTATCCCTCGGGAACCTGATATTTCTCAATGAATAATATTCTACTCCATACTTTGTTTTGTATCTGTGTTTGTATAAGATACGTTGAACCGTTGCAGAATTATCGAATAAACACGAAAAAGAAAATAAGCGTAACCCACGGGAACCGTAACTAATTCCGGAATCAAAAGTATTCTATGTCTTCTTCCAAACTATCCTCTAGATCTATGCCTAATTTAATTGAGATCCGTACATCTGTTTAGGCTATAAACTTTAACAAACATCCAAACACCCATCCATCCAAACTTAAGCATTTTATAATATCACTAGCTGTTGCTCGCGAATTCGCCCGTGTGAAATTAAGAAAAAATGAAAAAAGCCTGTGTTACTCACAGAAAAATTACCTTTCTAATGATGAAATATTTGAAATCGGCCCAATAGTTTTTGAGTTATTTCAATACATACAAAAATCCAAAAATACAAATCATATCTCTTTGTACGTAACATTAGTATAGACTAGAAAATAAGTTTTATTGCTAAATACCGGCTTCTGCGTTCCCGTTTTAATACAAATTTGAATGTTAGTAGGTGAAAGTATTAGTATTGGCCGAACATCAACGTTTGACACGGTATACATCTAGGTCATAGACCGCGAGTATAGCTGTTCTTGCATTCTCAGCAAATATAAAATACTATTCGCACAGTAGAACTCCACCGCCGTAGCAATATTAAAAATGACTCATGAAGCTGAGTAAAACAACTAAAATCTAATACATAGAATAAGTTGTTTATTGAAGACAATTTTAAAACGCCATTAATTAACAAAACGTGGGAACCAACCGTTATGTAGTTGAATATACCGCGCGAATTTGATTCTGGGATCTCTGCCTACCTCTGGGTTACCGGCGTGAATTTTGTTATTTGCAAAACATAAATATTAAATTCTAAAATACAAATAACTAAAGAATAACATCACCGAAATCAAGCAACTGCGTCCGCGTGGAATTAAAAAAAAACACAACAATAGCAAGTTGTTTATGTGTTCTTCCAGACTCATCTATGCCAAATTTAATCGAGATCTGTTTAGCAGTTTAGGCAAAAAATTCTAACATCCATCCATCCATCTAATCTTTCGCATTTATAATATCATTATAATAAGATTAGTAAGTTATAGTAAGACTAGTATGATAGATACATTTTGTCAAAAAAGTTTAGTTATTGTTTATTTTATTTAGATTTGATTATTAACCAGCATTTCGCTAAACTCGGAAATATTTCATGAACTAAGTCAAGGACCTTATCTTACAACATACGGAATTGCATCTGATAATTCATTACATTATAGTATAATGATGCATTAAATATTCAGCAAGAGTCGCTTTATGTATCTTATGTACTATTACATCACTTAATGGACTGACGGGCCTATTTTTATATATTTAAACTTAATATGAAGCAACGAAACCTCTATATGGTAAGTATTATTTAATTTTGTTAGTACGCAACGTGACTTATCTATCAAGGCAATATGCTTGCGAATGTCACTTAAATATTAGAAGTTGGACTTGAATATAAATTTGATTAGAACAGTGAAAGCCGACGGCATATGAGACAAAGAAATTAACTCTGATTGACAACTACAAACATTGTAAGAGGTGCACTCGCAGCTATCGCACAACTGTTAATCGATTATCGATTGTTTTGCAGCCAATTCAATTGTTTAGTTGGTTAACTAAAATCGAGTAGTGTGTGTATCTCCATATATTAGTTTATTTGGAATCAAAGCGTAATTAAACACTGGTGCGATAGTTTATTCACAGGTGCGCGCACGCTTTACATATGTATATGATCAAACATTTTGTCAAACATCACGTGTTTGTCAAATTATTGAAGAGCAAGTTTTGATTGATGGTTTATCCATGTTTGATAAATAATTTGTTTGAATAAAATTGTTGGAATCATACTTTTTATACGAAAGACTACAGATGTTGTATAATAGGGGTGCCATAAACCATTATTTTATGGTTACTGTTTTAGAACAGTAAGTTTTGTCCCGAATTTGAGTGAATGTAAGGATTGAGGAAACAAGGTGTGTGCCAGGGCTATGCCAAATTGAAATATTAATCTTTTAAGTCGTAATTTTCTCTAATTGTTTTAAAACCAGTTTTTTTGCGTGTAACCGAAAAATCGCGTGTTGTTATTTTTTGTATTGTCCAGTGTATATTTATTATTCAGCAACGGTCTAAAAATAAGCCAAGGACTTTCGTTTACAGATAATTAAATATGACAAACTAACTTTTGACAGCGACTCTGCGCGGAAATAGAAAACTTACAAACTACAACTATGTGTTTTGTTCTTATTTACTATATTTCTGTACGTTTGTAATCTTGTATTCAATCATTTACAACCATAGACATTCCAAAAAATAACGACATATTTTTAAAACCCATTTTTTTATCTCTTAATATGTAGATTCAAACCTTAAACATATAGTGACAAAAAGGATGCCTAAACTCAACCATAGAGTAACGGATTTTATACTCCCGTTACACGCACTAGATATTTGAAGATTGATTTGTTTAATATAGAAAAAAAATGTAATCTATGATTACAAACTTTACACCTTAAGGAATAAAGTTCAAAATGCAATGTTCATAAGGACACATTTAACATAGTGTTAAAGATACAGTTAAATTTGTTAATGTTTTTAACATGTGACGTCATAAAAATAAAAATCATTGTTTGTTTGCTACATATGCGTTTCTAACTCACTGTAACTCACTGCACAAAAGTTGAAAATTTGATAAGACATTTTTAGGATCCTAGAAAATGTTTGTAACTTATTAAATACGAGAAAAATCAAAAGAAATGTCAGATTTAACGGAATATTCCGCTTGTAGTTCGAAGTTTGATATTATTATCTTATAGACATTTGCCTTTGGCATTACACCGCCGAATTAAGGTGGAGTTTTTATTTTTTTGTTTTGTTTTTTTCAAAAACTTGTTTGCAATGACGTCATTGGAAGAACACAGGTCAAGCAAGGGTATCTATCAATCTAAATGATTTATGAAACAATACTTAAATATCAACAAAAATATGTCATCTCTACATGTAATAAAATTAGAATGTCTGTTTGTAACACTAAAGAAAAATTCCTGATTTCGGGAATGTATCTCACATTTGCGTTGCAGATAACGAAAATAGCATTTAAATATTTTTTGTCTGTTTGTCCGCAACACGACACTTTACTTTACTGAGGGGAAGCTGACATAGACGGGCATATTATAGGTTACGTTTTTATCTTAATATTGCGTGGACGAAGTCGCGGGCAACAACTAGTTAGGAAATACAACTTATTACAAATTAATTACTCACATAATTTCAAAATGTAGGTCACAAAATATATCACTGAAAATAAAATAATACACCAATATACTTAACACTTTCTATTTAGTATTAATAATTATTTATCGTAACAAACAATTTAATACACACGAACAGTTGAACAATCGTGCCTGAATGATGTTTGATATCATTGACGTCAATATACACTTGGAAGGTTGCCACGATAAGTACGAATAAATTAAGGTAGTGATTAAAATAGATTAAGGGTCTGTCCTACCACTGGTTGTTAGGCACAGATAGCTTAAAAATGACGTCACTGTCAGATAAGGTAACAAAATCTTTCCATGACATACTTTATACGTTCGATTGTTATCAGACAATTTACAATTTGGTGGGACAGGCCCTTAGACTCTTTGGTGGCCAACATTCGCGAAAAACTGGCGATCTCCCACCTTGAATAGAGCGTCTGCGGATCGGGGGTAAGTACTTGATTTCTAATAAACATGGTCTGAGTTCGAATCCCGCCATACCAATGTGATTTATAAATTTCTTATGAACATAATTTACCCATTATTTCTTACAGTCAAGGAATATATCTTGATGAAATATTATTGGTGGCTGTTTATAATTTACCTTGTCAGGTTGTGAAGTAACAAAGTTAACAATTTGTCGGTGACTTACAGTTGATCTAATGTGTTACAACACCGGAAGGATTTAACACAAGGAAGTGATGTTACTATGGGACGTCTTGTGCGTATGTGCTTTATGTAAGCTAGTAAATGAGCTCTACAAATTCCTTACTTTAATCTTATCTTAAAATATCCACTGCCGAAATAATGCCTGCTATACAACACTAATTATAAAACTCCAGTAAAGAGATGGTGTGTTTACACAAAAAAATCCTCCCATACACCCTTGTGAAAATATTGTTTTTTGTACAAGTTACTCAGTTTTCTAACATAATAAGTGTTATACATGTAAACCTACTTTCATTTCTCTTAAACTTAAATAACCTAAATACGTGTTACATAATCGTTATTAAGAAAAAAAAGTTCAATCAACTTCAATCCACTACCATTTGCCAATTGGTATGCACGATCGAGTTTTTATATTCCATACTCGAATCTAGTGAAATTAACCTTGGGTATTACTTATTCGGCTCACGTGTTCGAGTGTAATGTGAGTGCCCTTGGTACTGTGCATTTGTAACGTACAAAATGGCGGATATATATTCTATAAGTGTGCAAGGAAGACGTGGTGGAGAGATGGAGATTTGCAATCACTTGGCACGTATTGTTACTGTTTGCAAATCGAAATGTTTCGTCCACATCTGAAGCAACTTTTATTTACTTATTAGTCTGGCATTCGTAGTAATTTGTGTGATTGAAACTGAAGCAGTTTTTTCACAAACCTCTGGTATTTTTAGAACAACCAACCGAAATTCGAATAGAATCTGTTTAGTTTAGAAATTTGTAGAAGGAACACAAACGTTGGATTTAGAATTTTTGGTGCTTTTAGAATCTGAAGAACTTTTTGGGAAAACTGCTGAAAATTAGAGAATCGAAAAATGTTAAAGAATAAGACCATAAAGTAGCTATCGTCCCTACACCTAGTTTTTATATACTACTATTATTACTTATACTGTTATTATATACACCTAGCTATTATATTATATGCTGGCAACATCTATTGTATAATCGCATCGAGTTACTTCGAATATCAAACACTTCATAAATAATTCGTCTGATATTTTAATCAAGCCCACTAGATGTCTCCAGTTTTATAAACACTTTGTGCGCGACTGTACGCTCAGTAAAAACGTGCAAACATCCGGACACAATGTTTTTCCTTGTAATCTGAACAAT